GATAAAATCTGTAAACGACAATAATAACCACAAGTTTAAAATAATTGCTTAAACTGCATAGTATTAAGTTGCTGATTGGATGGCAGCACATTATACATCATTAAAGTTTTAGCTAGCTGTTCCTGCTGTTCACCGTTATGTTATAAAGTCACTGTATTTACAAATATATATATATATATATATATATAAAGTGGCACGGCTGTTTTGCTGGTGCATTTTATCTGCTCCAACTTGTTCCCAAACCTCTGAAAAACTGAATATCAAATTGTAAAAAATACTGATGTTGAAAAATATATTGATATTTCATAACTTCCAGTCTCACATCTCCTTATTATTAGTTATTTGAACAAGGTTTAAAGGGATTAGGACGGACAAACAGCAATAACACATAAAAAAATAATGTTTTTAATTCAGTATTTGCAAAAACTACGTATGAAGGAACAGTATGGAACTATCAAACAACTGTTAGAAATAAATTAATAATATTAATAAGATAAAGTCATAATACGCTCCCATTCAATGAGCTACTGTACTCTTTTAGTTGCTGTTGTTTACAGGTTGTATAACGTAAGTGCTCAGTGTTCTAGAACTGCTGATCATACATCATACACCCAGAAAACACAATAATATAATAATATAAAATATATAATTTATGTAATATATATCACAAGAACATCATTATGTCACTCAGCTGTACGTGCAGCTCTGCTTTACTGCTCACTAAATGTACTGAATAATCTGAGAAACTCTAAATCTGCCAGAATGAGCAGATTTACAGACAGAGCTGATGATTCAGACTCAGTAAATGAGCCGTTTCCCCTGCGAGACCATCAGCGCAGATTTATCATTTATCAGATTTACATCATTTCCATCTTAACAATATCTAACAGACCCAAACAAGCCACAAACTGAGCTCCTTTCAGTCCTAATCTCTCAGAATCGCGGAGCTCAGCTGACCTGAATGAGCTACACCTACACGTTTAAACATCACTGATCAATAACATAAATCAGTGTATATAAACGTATAAAATGATACCAATCTAAACTTAACAGCCTCCAGATACTCAGGATGAAGATAAAAATATGGAATGTTGTGTTAAATAAGAATAAAGCTCTATTAAAATTAACATGTAGAATGAAGTTCTAATACGAGAATACTCTGAGTGGGGTTTTAATACATTTAATTAAAAAAACAAACGCCTTCATTTTTAAGTAAATTGACAAATTAATTTCAAGGTAATTCTACAAAGTGATTTACACTTAAGAAAATATACATTTGACCATTTATCTGCCCATTTATTGAACTTATGTTACTTTTTTTTTAATTAAATTCTTTGAGCAAAATATCAGTTTAAGAAGTAAACTTGTCTTATCATTTAGCATCATCAAAAGGAATTAAGCCAATTTTTTACAAATTTAAAAATCTTAAAAATATCTTAAACAGGTGTTTTTATTGTCTGTATTTCACTTCTGTGTAAACAGTTCTAGTTACATTTGTGTGTTCTTTTATTTTAAATAAGATCCTAAATTGTTTAAATAATGAAATTGAATGGAATTGTGGTGAAATCTGGGCCTTCGGGATGAATCGTTTACCACAGAATTGTTGTGGAATTAAGTCAAATAAATTTCAAACTTCATGATGCATCTAATCATTTTTTCAAGAATTGTTGTCAAAGTGCAAATTTGAAATTTCATTCTAAACTAAATAATTTCTTAAAGAATCGTAATCTAATCAGACTGTGAGGTCAGAGATTCAGGCTGAAGGTAACGACCGTGACTGTCTCTGTTTACCTCTCTGTGATGGTCTCCCTCAGTCCGCTGGCCACTCCCTTCATGACCGTGCTAGCTTTGGGCGTCAGGACCATCTGGGACACAAAGAAGGTTCCTTTGCGTCTGCGGTCCGTCAGCGAGGCCTGGAGGAACTGGATGAGCTTGTCTGGGTCGGTGGTGTTGGCCCAGGGGGCGGGCATCATCTGGCCGGGCCACAGGAAGGGCACCTCCAGGGCCATGGGGTTGTGGTAGAAGACCAGCACCTGGTACTCCTTCTCCCACAGGTACTTCAGACTGACCTCCTGAGCAAAAACCACCGGGCACAGCCGGTCCCCGAACACGGTTCTCAGCATCTGGACCAGCTTCTCGTGGTGCAGGTTCTGAACGCCGTAGAAGTGGTTGAAGTCCAGGAAGACCACCTCCCGGGCGTGAGAGGCCAGGAAGGTGCTGATCTGCTCCAGACCCTCGCGCACGGTGGCGCTGAAGAGGCCGTGGGCGAAATAGAGCTCGTTGTCGGGGTCTCGGGGTTTGGTGGAGATGCGGAGGTCGAAGAAGCGTATCCCCGCCTCCAGCTGGCTGGAGAAGTTCATGGTCTGCGTGGCCAACCACTTCCTCATCAGCTTCTTAGCCACCGTGCCGAACACGGAGACAAAGTTCTGCACGGTCTCCGGCTGCTCGGGGCCCACCGGGGACGCCTCGTCGATGTAGAAGCTGAAGGAGTCGTGGGATCCTGCAAGACAGGAGGAACCATCATTACTCTACTGAGGCTGGAACATGAAAAAGAAGGTTCCACTGGTGGACATCGTAAAGTTATATACAGCAGCCAAACTGATTCAGGAGGATGATCTTCAGCAATGTTAGACTGAAGCAGGGCTGCCCAAAGTGTGGCCTGTGAGAACGTTTGATTTGGTCCACCAGTCACCTTATATCCCCGCCCATTCAGCCTACAGCAGTTTAGCCCCACCCATTCAGCCTACAGAAGTTTAGCTCCACCCATTCAGTCTACAACAATTTAGCTCCACCCATTCAGCCTACAGCAGTTTAGCTCCACCATTCAGCCTATAGCAGTTTAGCTCCACCCATTCAACCTACAGGAGTTTAGCTCCACCCATTCAGCCTACAGCAGTTTAGCTCCACCATTCAGCCTATAGCAGTTTAGCTCCACCCATTCAACCTACAGGAGTTTAGCTCCACCCATTCAACTACAGCAGTTTAGCCCCACCATTCAGCCTATAGCAGTTTAGCTCCACCCATTCAACCTACAGGAGTTTAGCTCCACCCATTCAGCCTACAGCAGTTTAGCTCCACCATTCAGCCTATAGCAGTTTAGCTCCACCCATTCAACCTACAGGAGTTTAGCTCCACCCATTCAACTACAGCAGTTTAGCCCCACCCATTCAACTACAGCAATATATAAAGACCTGTCTGGAGATTTTATTATTGGTTTTATTCTGTAGCTATGAGGCTAAAGTAGCTAATGAGTAATGGTAGATTAAGGACACCTGTTAGCGTAGCGCTAACTGCAGCCTAAATGCCTGAAAGCGTGTGGAGCTGTTCAGCATCTCTAACAGTCTTGACTTTGTGCTGTCAGACACTGTTATCTATAAACATTACAGTAGCATAGCCAAACGGCAGCAGCCTGAATCTGAACTTGAACTGAGTGGTGGAGTAAAAGAGGCCGAAACTTCCTCGACAGCCTCTCTGCTCCTCTCACGCCAACCGCGCTGTCCTTCCATCCGCACCCATGATTCTCACCTCGCTCTGCTAACAATAAAGCTGAATTACAGCTGAACAGACGCGCTGTGAGTGGACAGACACCGAGGCTCAGGCTGAGCTGGACACTGAGAGCTGATGAAGGTAGAATAGAGAGTGATTTGCAGTTTTATGTGTGACGAGATACAAAGAGCAACACAAAGCTGAAATTACTCATCGTCTCCTAAACGCTGCATCACAATAAAGCTCAGCTTTAAGCTCAGTCTGAAATCTGATTTCCTTCAGCGCGAAAACACAATGAATCAGTGACGCCGGCTGACAGACGACTAGCAGCACCAACACAGAGGAGAGGCTGTCTGTCTCCTTTAGAGTGGATCTTACTGCTTTATCATCTCTTAATGGATCTGCACCTCCACACGTCTCTGACTGCCTCACAGAACATCGTCCACATCGAGCTTTAAGATCATCCAGTGCTGCTTTACTAAATGTTCCCAAGATGAAGATCAGAAAAAAAAGATGCAACTCTTTACTGATTAATCTTCATCAAACATCATCATCTGTAACCAGCTCCCTTTTTTTAAGCTCAGCATTCTGCCAGCTTCCTGTTTCTATTTCTGTTTATTTTATTCTATTTTCTGTTTCTTTTAATTGTTCATTTCTATTCATTTATTTATTTATTACTATTTTATTAAAGCACTTCTTCCAACTGTTTTATAAATGCTATAGAGATAAAGTTATTACTATTTTTTATTATTTATATTATTATTATTATTAGTTTTGCTTAATCTGTAAGTATTTAAGCCTTAACTGAATGGGTGTTTAACTGTTTATATCTCACATAAATTGGTCTATAAACTAGTGTAAAACTGTCATAACATTTTACTGACTAGGGCTGTCATGAGTCCTCAATTAAAATCGATTATTCTTTTTTAAAAAAATTAATCGACTAAAATGTACATTCTCAATGATCGTTTTAGGGATTATTTCACAATCAGAAAGATCAATATGGCGTCCGCAGGTCAGTTTAAAGCATTAGCAGTCTGAACGTTCTCCACAAATCACTTCACTGAAAGGGAGGAAACCCACACCAGCAGGATCTCACTAACGCACATGTTCTTGCAGCTACAAATTGCATGTATGTGAAAATCAGGTCTGGGCTGAACAGCTCAGCAGACAGCTAACAGGCTAACAGGCTGCTTTACTGTAAAACTGTGTAAAGAATATGGACTGAAAGCCTGTTACACATTTCAAACGCCCCAAATGTCTGTAGAGCTCGTTAAACCCTATGAATCTACACCATATTCATAGAGGTGCTGGTGGAAATGAGCATTATTGTAACAGTGATACTCAGGATCCTTATAAACAGTCTTAAAGTGAATTTGCTGATATTGGCAGATCGTCTTATGTATATTTTCTATTCCTATATTGCTCTCCTACAGTAAAAATCTGAGCCTGATGGCCACACATACGCATTTTTATTCCCCTCAGTGTTTTAAAAGATTTCTTTTTAATATTTGTCAGTAAAGCATTGCGTAAAGACTTTGAAAGACTCTGCATGGAGTTTTATTGTTCAGTTAAGCATATTTTTAAAGTTTAAAAAAATATTAAAACACAATTGTCAAAATAATCTGTAAAGTGCACAATCACTAATATCAATTAACTGTCAAAATTGGCAACACCTGAATTACTCATAATGATCAAATCTCAAAATAGATTAATCATCAAAAAAATCAGCAGAGTACTCAATTACGAATTTTGATCAATCCCCAAAATAACCAGCAGGCCACTGAATTACTAATAATGATTAACGAAACAAATCAATTACTCTTCAAAATAATCTGTAGTGTACTCAATTACTAATGATGATCAATCGTCAAAATAGGTTAATCAAAAAAATCAGTAGAAGTACTTTGATTACACGTTTTCAATAATCAAAACTGATTGATCATCTATGTATATATATAGTATTTGATTACTAATTTCGATTAGTCATCAAAATAGATTCATGAGCAAAACAACTGGTAGAGTATTTGGTTACTATAATCTGCAGTGACAGTCCTATTACTGACAATAACAATTAAATAATGAAAGATTTTGTGTCTTAAGTTGTGACGTATGCGTCTGATAGCGTTCATCGTTATTACAGCTTCTGCACAGGTAGTGGTGCTTTATTCTCCAGCTGTCGTCGGAGTTTCCTCTAACAGCTCGCTCTCTGACTCAGCTCACGTCTGCCTCTCTCTACACTGACTCCACTTCCTCCTGCTCTACATAAATACCCCCCAGGGAAAACTAGCCCCGCCTTCACAATAAGAGTCCTTATCAGAATGACAAAATACCTGGAATTAACATGCAAATCATTTCTGAACGCACTACGGTACACTGTTTAGTGAACTCGCACTGACACTGAGATTCTGCTCTTTGCTTGATTTAGATGCTCTTTTATGAGTTTGCCTGTCAAAACACTGTCAGTTTCTGGTGCATCTCCACTGAGATGTTCTCAGCCAGCTCTGAACAGCAGCCATCAGCACCCAGCAGCACAGACAGATACCAGGCAGTGAGCCACATGCTAACTGGAGAGATCTCAGTGCGAGAAAGCAGACACGACGACGCTACAGCAGCCGGAACAGACATCTGAGTTATACGGTTTACCCAGCCGAGTCAGGTCAAAGACCACCATCACACACCGCCTCACCACCAGGGACACGGAACGTGTTTCAAGTTGGGAGTCCTGAAATTTTATGCAGAATACGTGACGTGATTGATGACGCCATGCAAAAGCTTGCCTTTGTTCTATTTGATCTCTTTTGATAGTTTATATCAATCAGACTGCGTCATAATGTGCGATAATGAGGCGAGAGACGACAATATATAGGTAGATAGATCAGAGCGCTGATGGACATCATCTCTCTGCTGTCTCATTCTGGACGAACTTTATGCAAATGAGCTGAGCTGAACCAATCAGACTTAGGTGCTGTAAAGAACTGTATTCCGCCCACAGTCACACGCTGAGATTTAAGACAGGATCTCTCACTGAGTGGGAGATGTAACGGTTGATAAAACATCATGAATACAACGGCTGATCTTTTAAAGTTTAAGAACAGTACTAAGCTGCTTTAGGGCTTCAGAACTGGCCTCCATCTCTGCTCTTTCTCTCTTTAAATTTCATCGTGCCTGTTTTAGCGAAGCGCCCACGGAGCAGCCAGCTGTGGTGGTGAGCAGCGATTCAGCTCACTGTGATGGAAATGCAGCGTTAATTTAAACAGTGCAGCTACTGCAGATTTACAAAACACATTAAAAACAGTAAAATGCAGGATCCTCTCTAAAACAAGCACACGGTCAGTCGTCACTCAGATCATTAAAAAGATCAGGGGTCGGATTCACAAAAAGGTCGCAGTAAAAAAGTTTGCAAAGGTTCTTAAGACAAACAGAAGTTGAGAACATTGGTCCTCGTTCTCCAACCGTTCTTAAGTACAAATTTCCTCTTAAACCCACTTACGCAGTTCTGACGAAGACTCTGACTCTCCAGTGCTCTCTTATGTGGGATTCGTTCTTAGGTAAGAATAGAATCTACACTCAAGAGCACAAAGGAGAGAACAGTTCTGCGCTTTAAGAACACGTCATGAATCTGACGCAGACTTTTTCACATTTAATAACAAACTTAGGAGGATACTGGAGGACGAGGCCCAGTGCTATTAAACAACTCTCAAAAAAACTTAAAGTTCTCAAAAATTCACTTAAGATAATCTTACATTTTTCCTTAAGATATTCTTGAGTATATCTTCATTGTTTTCTGAGGTCGGCTGTGGTGCATTTTACAGCTCATCATAAACGATGTCAGATGCATTCTGAACGTCTGTTCACTGTTATTTCCATTATTTAGCTTAATCCACTCAGAGGAGCCAAATGGAGGACAAACATCAAACTGAGTGTTTAAAAAAATTTATCAAACAAGATCTACAGCTGATGGAGGAAGAAACAGCCAGCAGGAGAAATCCTCCTGAGGAGTGACGGAGGAAA